TGTAGCGCTCGCTTCGGCAACCAAACCTAATCGACGGGCGTTGGCAAAGCGTGAATGGACTGAGTGAGGCTTGCACTCGCATCCGCTGGCCCTCGCCCAATGGCGTTCCAGATGTCGCCCACCCTGTAAAGGGTTACTTTTCTGATGCTACAAGTCACTTGTTTATTGTAAGGGCGACACTTCGACGTAATTTGGATCCGATGCGTACATGAACAGTTAAAAAAAAACTCTATCACACCTCTCAAATCTATCACACCCATAAAATCACCTCGTGCTACTACCTTGTAACATGCAATGTTGAGTTCCAATGCACCGAGTTGATATCCCGGGACTCATACGCATTTGTACATGAACATACCAATCACGATTACCCCCTAATCAACCAGAAATAACTAGTCTATACTTTGCTTACTAATTGGCTAATAAGTAGTCCGACACGTGTTTAAGCTGTGTTTAGTGACGTGGTTTGCTGCTTAGTCCGCCCCGTAATACAAACTGTAAACTTTTATTTTCACGAGGTGCTAGCTGTCACTTCGATTTTTTTCCCTCTGACAACAAAGCATGCAGGCCACGCTCCAACCTCCAGGTATCCACACTCTAAGCGACGGTGTTGTTGGTTCTGTGGCCCAACGATCGTCTCGCAATGTCGGGAGACAAATATACGGCTACATCAATGAGCAACAGTCGAGACTGTACTCTCCTAGTCGTTCGTGCGCAAACGCCACCGCGGGGCTTGTAACCTTGGCAAAAGATGGAATGGGAAGAGAGAAACGACACTTGGATGATGTACGCACTCAATACTCAACCACGAGAGTTCGCGACACCAAGCGATACAAGTTGTCGGGAAGTGAAAGAATCGACGACAAGGAAGAAGACGACACTACGGAGTCGCGCCGCGAATACTATCGGAAAAAGCAGCAACGATATCGAGAACGACAGCGGAAACGCGAAAAGATGCTTGAAAATTCGACTCGACGACTCAAAGATGAAATTGGACAGCTCAAGCGACTGCATGACCAACTTAGCTTTCAAGTGCCCCGATGTCTAACGATTTGGATTGTTGCCACCGAGTATTTGCGCATCATTCGTCGAGGCATCAGTAACGATGCAGGCATTAACGATATTGATCTTCTCCAAGCAACGATGGCCCCTGATATCTTGATCGACACTGGGAGTGGCGTCGACGCTCTGGTAAAGAAGTGGAATCTCTTCACGCAATGGTTTCCAGACGTACGCATCCAGCTCAAACAGCTCAAACAAATCACAGAGCAATCCATCGTCGCTCTTACTACCACCAGCTTCACTATTACAACCAGAGGGATGCAGGGCGCGTTCCCGCATTTGTTCAAAGCTAGAGAGGGCAGTCGCTGTGCCCAAATCGCTGCGCGGTTACGAGACCAGCGCGTTGTTTTGCAAGGATCCGTCCGCTTCGATTGGGATGAGAAGAGCAAACACGTCATTCGACTGCAGCACCAAGCGGATATGATGTCGATGCTGTTGGGAATGCTGGGTAACCTGGAGGATGTCGCCTTAGTGTTCAATGGCGCGCATATTACACCCGAAGGTGTCGTACGTGATGACATTGTGTGGGCGTAGTATAGTTTGGTTTACACTGAACGAACGACGGTAACCTTTGCATTGATCGACACGATCTTCATTCCATAGAGTGAACAGTGTTTTTTCGATCGTACCTGATGTTGACACCTTAGCGACTTCTTCAGATTGCCACACGCCGTCTTCAATAAATACCATAGGCGGGGA